CTCTTGTTTAGTATCAGTAGGACCTGGTGGAGGGTCTTTATATTTAAAAGTTGTTTGGGCCCAAGGGCCTACAGCCCTCAAGTCCTAGTGTTAATATATTTTGGAGGAACATTCTTATAAGTGGTACAGCACTGGTCTGTCAATTTGCTGTACAGAGGTAACCTAGGGTTTCTGTGATGCCAACCCCTGGACCACTGGTGTGTCAAATGCCATAATGTTTACCCACGGTGAACAGTTTTTGGCGGAGCTCCCAGATTAAGACAGGTTTGGAAGCAGGATTGGTATCCATTTCCTAAACAATATGCTTATGGAGACTCTATGAACTTAGAGAAATGATGATAGTTATAGAACAGGGTTCAGGTCTTTTTTTCATAGAGTTGCTATGAGTCGTGCTTGCCTCCATGGCAATAAACAATAACAACACAAACTTTTGCTGATTACAGATTAATTGATTGCTAACAGGGGAGCTCTGATGGTGTGGTCTGTGGTGAGTTGGACTGCTAACTCAAAGCTTGAAATCTCAGGAGATTCCACTTCTCCAGTAGAAAAAAAGAGGAGTAGTATCTTCCCACTGAGGGAGCTCTGGTCATGCAAGGGGAAGAAGTTGTGCTGCCAATACAAAGGCAGGCACTTTAATGCCTCCAGCTTCTCTGTGAGAGAAAGATGGGAAATCTTCTTCTGTGAGATCTACAGCCTCTGAAAACATGCTGGAAGGGTCTGAAAACAGCAGTGAGTTGGTTCCGAGTTGACAGTACTTGCAATTTACAGCCACAATAGTCTCATGGAGGATCACTATGATTCAGAATCAACTCAATCGCAGTGAGTTTGAGGCGATAACAATGCATTGAGTCCATCAACTATAGATATTGTGCAAATACTTAGTAAAAACATCTTGGCTGTACTAAACTGGTGAAATGTGAATTAAGTCAATATTGTTGTTGCTGTTATGTTCCACTGAGTTGGAAGTAACCCATAGCTAGCCTTTCCATGAATTTTCAGAGTTAATAAATCACAGAAGACAAGACTGCCTATCTTTCTGCTGTGGAGCAGCTGGTGGATTCAAACAGCCCAGCTTTTAAATTGTAGTGCAGCTTCTTAATCAGAGCTCCCTGAGTGAACATTAGTGATGTTTATAATTACAAAGGATAAGCAAAGAATTTGACACCTTCTATTAGATGGAATCTTTGCCTGGTGGAGATGATTAACATGTTCATTTGCTAACTGCAGTGTTTGAAGTTTGTGTTCACTGTGTTCTGGCATAATGGGGTCTCTAGAAGTTGAAGTTGACTTAATAGCAAGAGGTATTCATCATTTTGTTTTAATCATTTAATATTGTGGTGCTTTTGTGTAGGGTATTTGTTACCAATCCTAATGATCCACCACACTGTCAAGTTGATAAATCTTCACAAAAGGACACTACATATCTTTTTCCTGGAAAAACAATTGGCAGGTTCTAATTTCTGACTTTTCAGTTAGTGTGTAATGCATTAAGCGACTAAAGTTTCTTAGACTTAAAAGGAGTTTTGTTTATATTAGTACCATTCCCTTACTTGTTTCATTATTTTTTTTCCTGTGGTTATTTCTATTTTTCTTTTATAGAACCCCCCCCTTTTTTTTTTGTTAGCAGGATATCTTTCTCTGGACTACACAGCCAGAGTTCTTTAGCACAATTTTTTAAATGACACATTAAGAAGTAATTAAACAAATGGCTTCTGAATCACTATAATGAGATTTTGGACACATTGTTTATATTCTGGAATTTTGGACTAGTAAAAATGTGCCCATAACTCAGCTGTTTTATTCACCTAATTTATCACTGTCTAAATACACAAGTCCTCAGATTTAGAAGAATTTTTAAGAGGAAGACTTCAGAGAAGCTACTAAAAACTCAACAAGTTTGGTTTTAAATGACAGTACATTCAGACATAGTTCAGATACATTTTAACATTACAAACAAATATATAAGACTAGAAATATACATGCAGAAATAGGTAGGAGTCTGCTGATAAGTAAAACATACTCGTTCCTCCTTATACAAAAATATTTTTCAGCCTACTACCTACCTAGCACATTTAATTTGGAACAATTCTGTATTGAAATATCATATTGAGGGAACAAAATAATTAAGAAACAAAGTAAATCAATTTGGAAAGCAATTCTTTCATTTTAACACATGTAGTAGGTAAGTCTCCCTTATAATTTTTAAAGACCTAAAATTATTATTGACAACTAGAACATCTGTCTGTGACACTGTTGTCATGTTTCTATAGTTTTAAATTAACTTCTTTCATCAAACATAATTTGAGATTAGTTGAGAAGATCTCCCATCTCTACATTTTCCCAGAAGTTTCGCTTACGTCTGCTATATGCATCTCCTTTCTTCTGAAATAGGTGAATAGTAAGCATTCAGGAAGAAAGAAACCAGTCTCTCGGTGTTTAGATTTCATGGCCACATTCGCACATAAAAGTTAACCTCTCCAAAGAATTTTTCTGCATTACAGTAATCACAGTTCTAGGAACAGATGTTTGGAGTCCTGCCCTCGAAAGGAAGAATGAATAGGAAATGATTGGACAGAAGAAAGTACTGTTTCCCTGACTACAGCCCCTTGGGAAAATCAGAAAGCAAAGGAGACCAAGTCAAGTCCCAGGAGCCTTCTGCAGGCAGAGTCATGTAGTGATGATATCATTGATTTTGGTGTCAATACTCCTTGTTATGTGTCATGGCAGAGTTAGAATGTGGTGATAATATGGAAAGGAGCCATAAGTTAATAGGATGTTTCTTGGTCCTACATCAACAAGAAACATATAGTTTTCCTGATTTATGTAAGCAACAATTATTATTGTTATCATTAAGTGCTATTGAGTTGATTCTAAATGATAGCAACCTTATATACAAGAGAATAAAACATTGTCCAGTCCTGTCCCGACCTCACCCTCACCATGCATGCTGTGTTTGAACTCATTGTTGCAGTCAATCTATCAATCCAACCCACTAGAGATTTTTTTTCACTGTTGATTTTAACAAGTATGATGTCTTTCCATATAAATTTGCCACTCCAGATAACACATCTAAGATATGGGAGACAGAATTCCACCATGTTCCCTTCTAAGGAGTATTCTGGCTGCATTTCTTCTGAGATGTTTTGTTATTCTGGCAGTTCATGGTATAGTTGATATTCTTCACCAACAAGTAAAACTATTTATTCTAAAATACATTGCTGTTTTCATATTCATAATCTCATGTTGGGTCTCACATTTAACCTTGAGTTTTAGACAGGATGGCAATCTGGTCCCTAACTGACATAGAAGTTTAGTTCAGAGACTAAATGACTTGTCTAATTTAGAAATTGATAAGGAAAGAGTTGGAATTAGAATTTTATTTATGGTAATTGAACACCTAGATCCCCTCATCTGTTCTCATCTACCAGACAAACAGAGCTCAGAGAACAGAATATGTACAACACTGATTCTACTGTGTGATAAGTATCCCAATAAATGTAAAATATCACTATCATATTCAAAGTCCTTAGTCAAATCTGACTTACATATCATCCCATTTTATTAAACTACTGTATCCCAAGGGATATCCTTATGAAACAATAAGCAGTTAAAAAAACCCCTTAATTTTCAAGAATATTTTTGGAATACCAAATAATTAGGAATAATTTATTGTAGAGGAGATTTCTTGTAGCATTCCTAAACCTTGGAAGTAAAGATTTACTATAAGGAAGCCCTGTTAGAAGTACAAAATTATTTCTCATGTTTATCCTCAAGTTTGGCTTAGAAAAAACATCAGAGTTAGAAAGGGAATAGAATCAGAAACTCTATCTGGAACCTGATAGGATTCCAGCTGCAGTACATTTCACAGACTGATTAAGACTCTAGAATGCTAGAAACAATTATCTAAACATTTATGTAGGTTCTCATTGCATAATTTTGTAATTCATACATTGCCTAACTCAGTGTGTGTTGTTTTCAGCTACCATTGAGTCAGCTCAAACTCAATGTGACAATAGAATGAATTGTTGCCTATCTCTGTATCATCTTCACAATTGTCAATATGTTTGGGTCCAAGACTATGGCTGTTGTGTGAATTCATTTTACTGAGGGTCTCCCTTTCCTTTTCTTACAAGATAATTTCCTTTGCTTACCAATAATTCTTCACAATGACTAGAATAATTTTCTTTAGTGACCCTTATGACTTTTACTGGCTAATTTTGGGTAATTGATCACTAGCTCTTTTTTTCCTAGACTGTTTTAATCTGGAAACCCTGCTGGTAATTACTCACCATAGCTGAAAATTCCTTCTCAGTAATTCAAATACCAGTAGCATAACTTGTAGTATTACATCAACATACACATCCTCACAGTACCTTAAACCAAGATACAGGCTTTGGAGTTTACTGATAGTGGCTCAATAAGTAATGTTGTTGTTGATAAGTACCATCTAGTCGTAGACGACTCATAGCGACCCTATGAATGGAAGACCTGAATACTTGTATAACTTTTGTTTCTCCAAGTTCATAGGGTTTCTGGAGGCAAGCTATTTCGGAAGTGGATGCCACTCCTGCTTCCAAGTTTGTTTTAATCGGGGAGCTCAACCTACTTCTTATACAGCATTTTCTATGTAATGCTTTATTGTAAGACTTTGTAATATTTTGCTGTATATACTTTGTATATGCCAGGCAAGGATATAAGCATTTTAAGATATAGTATTTTATTCAACTCTCACAGCCATCCTGTAGTTTAGATACTATTGTTATTATTTTTATTTTGTGAATGAGGGAATTGACATCAGAGATAGTCAATTACTTGCTTAAGACCAGCTAACAGAGCTAAGGTTGACTTTAGGTGTACAGGGACCTAGACTGTTCTTTAAACCAACACACTAGACTAACATCTAACTGAAGATCTTTTATTCCTTAGAAATTATGTTTCACTTAAGGAGTGGACATGATGTGCAATGAGCTGTAATCCATGTGTTTGTTTTTTTTTCTCAGGCCAGCTGTAATGAAGGCCAGGAAAAGAGTTTGTTTGGAACCCTGGGCTATTGGCCTCATCACCTTTATATCCTTGATTGTCTTGGCAGTGTGTATTGGACTCATTGTTCATTATGTGAGATACAGTAAGTATGAGCTACTCCAGCACCATGTGACTCAGCCCACATATTTCCTCACTTTTCTTTCCTGTTTTTGTTTGCCTCAGGCTTCTTCATTCATTACTACAATTTGCATAGCTGGCACAAAGAACTCTACATGTCTTGCTTCTTCCTCACTGAATTAAACGCTCATTGGCTACTGAGTATTCTGGCTTCTATCTTTGATGTAACAATGCTTCCAATGTGCTAATTTGCATATTTATTAATAAGCAGTAATAAAATCTTCAACAGGGAAATCAGCAGAGAAGAACAAGAAAAATTAGTGGATAAAAAAACCAACCAACCAACAAATCAACCAAACAAAGAAACAAACAAAAAACCCTAGTGGATGGACAAAATATCTTGGATTGTTTAGGGCAAAAAGCTATTTTTTGGGACTTTTTAAATAACTTTTTTTGCTGTGATGTGGCTGTCAAGTTGTGGTGCTGAGAAAAGAGTCTTTAACATATTATGGACTGCTAAGAAAACAAATAGGTTTGTGTTGGTGAAACCAAGTCTATCCTTGGAGGCTAGGATTTTGAAGTTCTGTCTCACATTCTTTGGGCACATGGCCGGGAAAAACTGGTCCTTGGAGAAGGACATCATGCTTGGAAGAGTGGAGGGACAGCACAAGAGAGGAAGACCCCTGATGAGAAGGATTGCTACAGTAACTGGGGAAGTTGGTGTGTCAGAATTAGTGAGACTGGCTAAAGACAGGGAAGGGTTCAGAGCTGCTGTACACAGGGTCACTATGGGTCACAGGAGACTCGATGGCACATAACAACAACAACAACATGGCTATGACCTTGACTTGCTAATGTGTTGTTGTTGTGTTGTTGATTGCCATCACATAGAGCATGAATCTATGAACCAAAGACATAAAACTATCATTTTTCAAAGTTCATAGAGTTTCCTGAGGCATGTTGTTTAAGAAGTGGATGCTACTCCCGCTTCCAATGCTAATATAGTGGAGCCCAATAAATTAATTACACAATCAGAAGTCATGTAGAAGTTGACTTTATTTAAAATAGGAAGTTGGGAAATATTCATAGTAATAAGTTGTTGAATAAGTAATTAAACTATTCAAAATCTCTTATTGAGACATATTGTATATGCTTAAAGAGAATGGAGTGTGCTGAGAAGGCTGATAAAAAAGAGATTAACTTCCCAGCAGTATTATTAGAAAAATCTCCAGAGTGCTTAGAACTGCTCTTCCCCAATGTAATAACCTTCTGAAGTTTGCTTCCACTATGCCTCAGATTTTAATGAGTTTATTCTTCTATGACCTGTTGGTTTAATATGTCCCTCTGAGTCTAGGTTTTACTTTGATGTTCAAAACCATATAGCCAAATAAGCTAATAATTTTAATGTAATTAGCAATTTGTAGAAATTGCTTTCTTGTCAGAGAAATAGTCATATTGTAAACCAATTATCTTTCTCCACAATCACACACAAATCCAATTTCAATTTCTAAAGCAAGGGAGATAATTTATGGGGTGTTTTATGAAAAATAACTAGAGTAAAATTCTTCTTTTTGTAGAATTTGCACCTATGGTTTTAAAATCTAGGTGTCTGGATTTTGATTATGAATATTTCTATGGAGAATGCCTTTAATGGAAAGAAAAAGACTAATGGAACACCCTAAAGTTCTAAAGTTATTTTATGAGTTAAACTGAATTCCATTATTATATGATTGTTATTTTATCTACTCATGAATAATCTAGGATTGTGTGATAATCACTTGTTTATTTCTAGAATTAAGAAGAGTCTTGGCATATGCTAGATAAACAATGGATGTTTATAGAATACTGAATGGCAAAAATGAATGAATAATACTTATGTTTTCTTTGAGTAGGTGTTGGCTTGCCTAATGCCCCAAGAAAATCCTAGGAATGTTAGTGTCCATATCACTCCACTGAGAGAAAATATTCCTTTCTATTTATTTCACCTTTTGTCTCTTTCTAAATCAAATTTCAACAGACTCACAAATGCCACATTTGAATACAATGAAAATCTTGCAAAATTTTTCAATAACTTGAGTTCCTTTCCAGTGCACTCGTGCCCACATTCTGTTCTTTGGATGTTGAAATTCACAATTTCCACTTCCTACTCATTCCATCTGAATAAACAGTAATTGTTGTGATTTGTTTTAGTGTCTAGACTTAATGACCTGCCCTTTGTTGTGGGAGAAGTAAACTAACAAGAGGGAGCTCTGTGGTGTGATTTAGTGATTAGAAGTTGCACTTCTAAACCAAAGGCATGTGGTACAAACAAACCCTCCTACTGTTCCTTGGAAGAAAGAGGGGTAATCTTTTTCCATGGGATTTACCTCCTTTGAAAACCCACTGGACGGTCAGCTTCTAGTTGGTTCTGAGTAGGCAGCATCTAACAACATCAGTAACTGATTGTGTAGTTCTTAGGGTGTTGTACTGCTAACCCAAAAGCCTTGCCTCTCTGATGGTCTGAATTAACCAGCAGTTCCAAGGAAGAAAGATGAGTCATCTCCTCTCATGCATTTTGCAACCTCAGAAAACCATTGGAAGGTCAGCTATGAGAATATTTTGATTCAATGAAAGAGAGAGACTAAATAATTACAGAGAAAATATAGCATATCACATGATCAGCTAGGAACTGACATGCCAAAAATATGAAACCAAGATAAATTAACCAGTTGCAGAAACAGACAATGATAATACAGGTGATCAGACTTAGTTGAAAGGTTCCTTTTCATCCTTATGATATGAATTCAGGATTATATGTAGTTGTTGTTATGTGCCGTCGAGTTGTTTCCGACTCATAGCGACCCTATGCACAACAGCTCTAAACCCTGCTCTATCCTGCGCCAACCGCACCGCCTCTGACACACCCATCCCGATTACCCCAGTCACCGAATCAATCCATCTCATAGAGGGTCTTCCCCTCCTGCGCTGTCCCTCCACCCTCTCAAGCATGATGTCCCTCTCCAAGGACCCGTCCCTCCTGGCAACATGTCCAAAGTATGTCAGACGAAGCCCCAGAATCCTTGCCTCCAAGGAGCAGCTTGGTTTAATCCTCTCCAAGATAGTAGTTGCAGTTTCTTGCCACTAGGCCACCAGAGCTCCCCGAATATGTAGTTAGCATGTTTAAAAGGTAAGTCTTTTATGAGCAAAATTGTGCAGATATAGAATTGCAAACTTTTAGGATATTATTAACCAGTTAATATTTATCATATGCTTCTTACTCATCTTTAAATATTTCCAGTAACATTTTAATAACATGCTGCATAATTCTGCAAACTAGAGAAATATTTGGATATTTCACAGCCTATTTGGATCAATAGAATAATGCAAAAATTGAGTATAGATGTTAAATTGTTCATTAAGTTGAATCACGCATGTGTGTCCCAGGAAAGCAACTGCTGATTTTTTCAAAGTATATCTCCAGACCTTGCACTCAAATCTTCAATCTTTCAGTTATTAATTGTGTGCATTGCTAGTATACCTCCCCCAAATTCCTTTACTTGCTAAGACTTTGTCTGTTCTTAATTATTAGCATGAAACTTGTCTTTGATAATTGCCATCTGTGTAAATTCAAATATGATAAAAATATCAACAGTTTCACATGATTCAACTTAATGAATGTGTGTGCTTTGGAATCCAGAGTACCAGCTTTCCTTAATTGTGCACCCAGTCTTAGATCTATTCAGCCAAGATCTGCATTTTCAGCAATTATCCAAGTAATTAATTTGCACATTAAAGTTTGAAAAGCTACATCTTGGGAAAAAAGAATATAACTACATAGAGACAATAAATATGAACCCTTGTTTTGAAACCAGGTAATTTCATTGATTTATTTTATATAAGATATTTTAAGTTCACACATAAAGGTGCACTTCTGGTCATGTAGAGATTATAACTTCTACTTCATTCTCTTTCATCCTCATTGCTGTTGAGTTAAAACCAACTCATAGCTGGTGGGTTTTCCAAGGCTGTAAATCACACAGGACGAGATTCCTCATCTTTATCCCTTGGAGACTCAGGTAGATTCAAACTTTCAGAAAGGCACCACCTTTGGATTAGCAGCACAACTTCCTGGAGACTATGCCACCAGAGTTCCTCTTAACAGTTGGTAATTTACTTTAAATTCATACATAGAACATGTTACATTCTGAAACAAGAAATCCTGGTGGTGCTTGACTGCTCATCAAAAACTTCACTGTTTAAAAGAACACCCAAAAAACCAAAACCCCAAAACAACCACTTCACTCTCGGAGAGCATTCAGTAGCTCCTGGGAAATAGTGTTGTTATGGGGTTTTTGTTGGGTTTTTTTTTTCATTTCTTGGGAAAGAGATCTTGTGATATACTTCTTTAAAACTGTAGTAAGAAAAAATTCTATCAAGTGGTTCTATACTAGAACACATGGAGTCAGAAGGAGCTAAAATGATTTGACTGAATAATTAATTCTGAAACAATATTAAAATTATAGCTAATAATAAGAAAGTATGTGCAAGAAAAACAATGCACTAAAGATACATATATATTTGTTGTTATTCTTGTTAGAGGTCATTGAATTGATGCCTCATAGCAAACCCATGAACAACAGAAATGCTCCCTGCCATATAAAACATTATCCTCACCTTCACCATCTTTCTTTTGCTCTCGTGCGCTCATGCTCTCTCTCTCTCTCTTTCACACACACACACACACACACACACACACACA